TAAACCACGAAAAGTTTGGATCACTTTAAGCTCCTTGGTTCACTTCAATGTGACGTCTTAAACCACGAAAAGTTTGGATCACTTTAAGCTCCTTGGTTCACTTCAATGTGACGTCTTAAACCACGAAAAGTTTGGATCACTTTAAGCTCCTTGGTTCACTTCAATATAACACCTTAAATCATGAACAGTCTGGGTTTCCTTAAATTCTCCCGTTCACTTCAACGTGACAACTTAGACAAGATGTTGTGAGACCACTTTATAATAACCTGTCATGTGATTTGAAATGCAAATAATTATCAGATGTACGACTTGCATAACAGTGAATGGAGAGGGGTGACTTCATAAATAGTTTCATCTTTCTATACCTAGTATCTACTGTGCATGCTGACCATCCCTCATTTATTTTATACAGTGTAACAATCGAAGTACTACAGCTTTTATTAAATTTACAAAAGTTTGCTTCTTATAGTATCCTTTTTTAACGGGCTTGATAGTTTAAAAGTACAATTAGTATAATTTCTGCATGTCAGTCGAACTTATGATTTTATAAAAATGTTGAAAAAAGTCGATTACTTACGCCCACATACAACTATGAGTTCATTAATATCCAGGCCAGCAAGGAAAAATAAAAAATACAACAGAGAGACTACATCAGAAACATGCTTTTCTCATAAAATTTTCATTACACACAAGACACATTACTTGGCTTTAAAAATTACATATATAAAGCATTTCAAATGTTTATTATGCTCAACTGATTTCCACAGATACATAAGGTGTGTGTGTGTGTGGGGATGGAGATCATCTAATGTATATATACAATTTAAGAATCTATACTCAATTAAGGAAGATACTTTAGAGTTTGGTGTAATTTTATTATTCATTTTCAAGACTTCACCATATCAAGGTCACAATAATACAACTTTTCATGACTAATGGTGAGTTAAATGGCCATTCGGATGTAGTATCTAACGATAGCTCTTGTCACGTGACGAAACTATGCTTGTTCAGGCATAAGGTAGAATGATATAAATCCTACAGAGATATGATATGTAAATACATTATGAGGTAAGGGCACCTGATTTTAAAGGGTCACATCTTGGAGTTTATAAACGTATGGACAACTAATTACACGAAATGATAAAAAAAACGTCAAATAATAACTTACATCCACTTTCATCAGATCCATCTTTGCAGTCCCACTGTCCATCACAGCGTTTTCTGATCGGATAACACATACCGTTCATGCAAGGTACAAACCCCCGACTGATATTACATTGATCTGAAGTAAAAAATATATATACATTTATTTGTGTCCTTTTACAGTTCATTATCTACAGCTTTCTGGATACGCTCGCTTTGGTCTGTGTTTTTATCTTACTTCCAGCATATTATATTTAACAAAAGAAACGAAAATCTCATTTATTTATCATATTTATTACATTTCTGTTTACTTGGTCATTACAAGTTTAAAATCCGCGGTGCGAACAACAGCTGTCATAACTCACCGCTAGGGGACCCTTTAGTTTAATATCGGAACTCGTTAGTTTGATGTTTTCGCACAAAAACTTTTATTTTTTTCCGGAAAACGTGTTTGTTACGTCTACTAGCTCACGTTTATTCTTAAGACTGTTTGCTTGAGAGGATTAGTTTAACTTCAGACTATGTAAAATAAGATCGATATATGTTATTTTCAGAATGAGTTATCAATACTTTTTCAATTTCGAATATAAACTAGATTTTCTGTCTTGATTTATTTAAACCTTTACTTATTTTCAACACAAATACAACACTGTAATATCTAAACATAATGCTCACTAATAATTAGTTTTTAACTTTATAATATGATATTTAATTATGTTTCTTTTTGATATAATTTATTTAAGGCTAACTTTATGGCACATTTTTAGTTGTTTCAATTATATTTTTTAACTTTATAATACGATGTTAAATTATGTTTATTTTTGATATAATTTCTTTAAGGCTAACTTTACAGCATATTTTTAGTTGTTACAATTATACTTTTTAACTTTATAATACGATGTTTAATTATGTTTATTTTTGATATAATTTCTTTAAGGCTAACTTTACAGCACATTTTTAGTTGTTACAATTATATTTTTAACTTTATAATACGATGTTAAATTATGTTTATTTTTGATATAATTTCTTTAAGGCTAACTTTATGGCACATTTATGGTTGTTACAATTATATTTCATACTTCACTTTCCATCCCAATAAAACCAAAAATAGAACTGAAGTCTCACTGTAATATTTCAAAATTTGTTTTCCCTTTTATGCACTCCAAATCCTTTTATTGAATAGCTTTAACAAAATTACAACCAGTTAACAAATTACAACTAAACTTCGCTTAAGTTTACAAAAGGATCACATCACTCCTTTCCATTTCATAACTTTAGTTCTTTATAAGCAATATTTTTAGAAAAAAATTCTCTGTATATACCAAAATCTTTTACTCTAATTATAAAATATCAAAGCCTCGTTTTTGTCTGCTTCCATATTTTAATCCCTAAATCATATTTTCATTTACTGTAGGCTTTATTAATAATAATGATGGTTTTTATTCATTTTTTATCAAGACTTCTTGAACCTACGTGTTTTTCTAATATCATGAATATAAATGTTTTATAATATTATTTTGCATCTTTAATATACTTATAATCTGTTGTACATATTAGTATGGTTGTAAAGGAAGGTGTACATAAAAACTTTATAATTATAACTCATATTTCTAATCATTTCCTGTGTAAAAGGAAGATTGAAATCAAACCAATTAAGGAAATCTTCATATTTCCCAATAGAACTCTCTGAACAAACAATAATTGGCCAAAATGTCAATACCATTTTCATGTCTGTTATTATAGAAATATAAATACTACCAGTGAGAATGTTGTGACTATGCCATACAGATTACATAACAAATTCACTGAAATTACTTTGTAAAGAACATATAAACAGTTTGTAAAGGCTTTCATAACATAAACAAAAATATGGTATGTATCCCAGTATTCTTCACATCCAATCAACAGTACATAAAAACAACGAATTTATACATATTTAACTCTGAATTTCAATCTTCAACATCGATTAAACTCTTGAATTAGTAATGTTTTAACCCATCTTAAATTTAAAACATTAACATATGTAGGTAAATCAATAGTTTTCTTTCCTCGGTCACCTCCGTTTTCAATAATAGTTTTTTTTATGTGAATCTTGTTTGGTTAAGCAACTTATAAAAATATCTAATAATGTTTCACATGTTTTCATCTTTTCTTTCAGTGGACACAGCATATAGTCCAATGTGGCTTTGTTATAAGAAAACACACAATCTTTTCCTTCGTTAGATCAAGAATAGCAACGAGTAAGTTATTAATTTTTGAAATATTATGAGATTTAATAATACATATATATCTTATAGAATAAAAAGGTCAAGGCTAAAGCTCTCAATTCTTTCCTAATGTTTATGATTAAATTATTAATATTTTCATCCACCATTTTTCTCACACAAGTCTGGAAAATTTATTTTAAAATATTTAAGACCTAATATGCGAGTCAAGCTCAAGTTCTGTATGAATATGAAATGAGCTATTTTAATTTTCTTCACAATTCATGGCTTCAGTTTTCTCGATAATAACTTTTAATCCTGATATCCTTGAGAAAAACTTATACAACCCAAAGCTGCTCTTGAAGATTCCTTCAATTATTTTGAAATCAGAATCATATGCATATTGTAATAGTTTATTCTAACTTGTTTAACTAACAGTTCTTGGAATCAGTATTTTTCATCAAACTAATTTCTAGAATCATTACCACCAAAGCATATTAAAGAAACATAGCTTCTCCTTGACTACATCCTCTTTCATTTAGAAAAATCTGAGTGTGTTGTACATTTTGAGTAAGTGTACTTGGAAAATAGATTAACCCATAAACAAATATTTACATCATTGAAATAAACAAAATCCTGAACTTGAGTCAGAAGTTTTTCTAAAGTCAAGTAACAACAATAGACTTGGTGTATTAATATTTTCAATAAAACTAAATATGAAATATAATAGTAGATAATATAAATATGAATAATGATGGTAGGGTTTTATTAAATTATTCTGGAAGGATGTGAACATTCAGTTTTATATACTACAATCAATAAAACTATATTTCAAAAATTATCTGGGGATAATTATCTTTCTCAGAATTAACATAATAAACAGTACATTCTCTCTGAACGGTTGACAATGTTCTTTCAAACCTAGCTTTTAATAACTCAGCCACAAAATTAAGTCCCTCCAAAAATATGTTTAAAAATACACTGTATAATTATCCGATCCAGGCTATTTACTGCTCTTCACTTTATTAATAACATTAGTCTCCTCTATAAGAGAAATTTCTTCTTCTCCTTTGTTTGATATTTCTAGTTCTACTGTGTCTAATTTATAGACTTAGTGATACTTAGTTATAGATGGATTTTCTGAACTTTAATTTCTTTATAAAAATCAATATAAAATATTCTCATTTCCTTCAGTATTTCATTTGTTTTTATTATTATGTTAACTTTTCTAATTATTAACTTATTTTATGTTTATTCACATTTCATTCATCCATATTTAAAATACATTTTGTGCTTTCTATAATTATTTTACCCATTTTTCTTTCAAACGGATCATACTATCCATTGTACATCTTTTCTCAAATCCTTCAAATGACACTTCTTATCTCAATAAACAATTAAGGTTTAAAGTTTCAGAATCCTTAATATAAAGAGAAGGCAAAATATTACTTCTTTTTCCCACTATTTAATGTCTTAATTTCTATTTTTTCTTTGAAAAGTAGCATAAGAAATTGTAAAAATATATTAATAACCATAAGTAAAATGTCTAAAAATATATTCCTACTTGTAAAATATTTTCTATACCTAAAAATATGTTCTGTGCAAAATAAAATTTCCAACTGTATCCTGTTCTTTTGCATTATTAAATATATTTAACAATATATAATGATAATAATAAAGTAAGTTGTACTTTAAAAATATTACTGCTTTAAGTCTAAACTATGCTATTATTACCATTGGCCTTTTACCGACCAATATTCTTCGTGGATCTCCTTTACCTCTTGCACATCAACACACATCTTTCGATTCACATATCATAAGCTTGCTCCATAACTGTTTTTAAATATATATTTTTGATTTTCCATATGTTATAAATCAGTACATTGTGTTTTTCTTTCCTTTTGAAATAAATCATATTTGTTATTGAATTAGGAGAAAAAAAATGACTATTGTTTTTTCTTTTTGTTGGGGGGGGGGTTCTCAAACTAACACTATGTGTTTGTTCTTTTGTTTTTCTCATTTCTCTTTCAAGCTTATGACTGAATAATATCAATTATCTCAATAATTTTAACTTTTATGTTCATCTGAAAGTTTTTCTACATCACTCCCCCCCCCCCCCAGTGGTACAGCGGTATGTCTGCGGACTTACAACGCTAGAAAGCCGGTTTCGATACCCGTGGCGGGCAGAGCACAGATAGCTCATTGTGTAGCTTCGTACTTAATTACAAACAAACGTCACTCACCTTGTTTAGATAGTTGGAATTTATTACAGTATAGTATCAACTTTTTTCAAATTGAATCCAAACCTTCACTATGATCTATTGTTGATTTACACCGTATTTCTGTGTAATATATTTGCTTGATTACATTTTAGGTTTCATCAAAATTTCCTTGTACTTCAGGCACATTACCATTACATTTACGGTATTACAGAAGTTTCATTGTATTTCAAGCACATTACACTTATGATTTAGGGTTCCCAAAAGTTTTCTCGTACTTCAGACACATTATCATCTTTCTGCTTTGTAACTCATTGCTAACTTTAAACACCATTTCCATTCATATATTCCTGAAATGCTTCAGAGGATTTTTGTTTACATAATTCACTTAAAATTATAATTTTTACAACTGAAACAATTAGTAAAGATAAAAAAAATTACTCTTGATGCCTCAAGCCAGTTCTTAAAATTAAATCTAAATAAACATGCTTTTCTACAGCAGCGCTAGGATTTCCAGGATATTTTTGGCCAATTTGTAAAAAAGCAAAAAGAAATAATATTTAATGTAGCTAGAAAGATTGGCCAAATTCAAAGCCTACACATTTGTAATATGATATGAAATTCAAAGCAAGATTTTAATTTGCGTTTTAAATTACTGATTTCCTGCCCTTTTAGAAACTGGTTTAATTTTAAATCTTTGTGGTCTATCTTTTTCTGTTTTAGAAATGAAAACTACTATTTTTTTCATTGATTATATCATTCAGATCACCGGTTCAAACAATTATGATTTTATAAAACACGAGAGAATAAAAAATGTATAAATCGTTCTCAAATCAAACATATAGAAAACATACAGAAATTCAACCAAATTGCCTCCATTAGATCTTAATTCAAAAGCTCTAAAACACTTAGTATTCTAAACAGTTTTTTTATTAATGATTATTACTAATGTAATACAGAAAATATTTAAACTGTGTTTGTAAATGTTTCTTACCTGGTCGCCTGGTAACGTTGGCATCGGTAAAGACGATCAAGTTAGAAAACTGAAATAGTGACATTTACTTGTATTTAATGTTTTCTTTTCATTACAGTTGATCTCTAAACAGCATTCATTGTTTTACACACGACTCATTTAAATTCAAAAATGAATTATATTATTTATATAATAATACTAATACATAGGAAAGTCCTGTTAATAAACAAACTTAGTTATATGTTAAAGACACGCTTCGGTTATATTTTTATCTGACTCTAAAACACGTGTCATTACTCTAGCTCATAAAAATGTAAAAGAAACATGTAATAATTGGAGTGCGCCCATACCTAGGATGCCCACCTGCCTAAAATAGATATGTTGTCTTATCTAGTAGTAACTGAATTAACTTAGTACTCTCTACATACACACACACACAAATCACAAGGACTCTAGACCAGATTATTTAACTTGGAAGCATGCAAGCTAACCACTAATATAAATAAAATGTTATGAACACGAATAAAACTACTAAACAACTGATTTAGATTGAATGATGTGTACATTATATATAATTATATACAATATGAAATTGCACGCTGAGAAACCCAAAAAGGAATAATCTAAAGATACTCGCGAATCTTAGGGAAATAGCTCAAAATAAAATAATCTAAAAACACTCGCCAATGTTAGGAAATAGCTCAAAATAAAATAATCTAAAAACACTCGCCAATGTTAAGGAAATAGCTGAAAAATAAAATAATCTAAAAACACTCGCCAATGTTAAGGAAATAGCTCAAAATAAAATAATCTAAAAACACTCGCGAATCTTAGGGAAATAACTCAAAATAAAATAATTTAGAATACACAAATTGAGCACATTCGATAAGCAGGGGCTGTGCTATCTTCTTCCCGGAGAAGGGGTTGAGGTGAATTGGTAATAAAATTGAGGGAGCTGCACTCTACATCTCGTGAGCACACATACTGTAATATTTAGGAAGTGAACCAGCTATAAAAGTAAGCATTTTTCGTGAGTAAGGGGGCTATAGGGAGACTAGCGTCAATTTCAAGATAGCTTCAGCCCTCCCCCTTCCACCGCCCCTTTATAAGTAAACACATGCGTAATTGGAACACTAAAAAATGCACTGGTGAATACCAGAAAAATAGCTCAAAATGAAATCATTTAGAGTAAACAAGTAATTTCTTTTTCGAATATATTAGAAGTGATAAACTAAACACAGAATATATCAACATTTAAAATATCCAATAGAAAAGTTTTTTTGTTATTTTACCTCAAAAATTCGATTGGTGTCAATACCATAAGTTGAAGCTGGAAATTGAATGACTTCATCAGGTTCTCCCTCTCTGGAGTGAAGGACGTGCATGAGAGTTCCGTTGGCAGATTCGTCAAATGTCGTCATTTTGTATAACACCTTAAAACATAGATTCGTAACGAACTTTACTGTGTAACACAATATTAAATCATATAAAAGTATATGAACCATTATCTCAAGAGTATGAAATCTAACCTACGGAATTCTAAACGAAAAACTACGAAGTTATTAACTTTATCGAGTGAAAATATGAAAAACAATTTAAACAACTTGAACAATAACCTATATTCTAAACGCGTCACCTAATTTATAGGTTAAAATCAACAGATTGTACAAGTTTGAAGAATAAATACGGGAGTTTCAAAGTATAGCTTATAAGACTGACTTACACATGGTTGAGTAAGTAATATTAAAACGATTTTGAATATTTAAATCAGCAAGTCATATGACAACCACATCCGATATAAAGTCGCAGTGGAACGGAATGTACAAAAACTACATGTTGACATTGCTTGACTTTGTGTAGATGGATGCCATCAAAAACTGATCGCTTTTGGAAAGGGTATGTAATAGTCCTTTCCGATGAAAAATATTCATACACTCATATCATAAAGATTTATTCAAATAGGGGGGGGGGGGAGAGTTAGCATTTTCAAGACGAGGATATCCCTTATACTTAATGGTATTGGAAAATAAAAGAATATGGATCAACTTGGGATTCCAGAACCATCCAGAAAGAGACCCGCAACAGTCGCGGTAAACAAAGAGTAGCGCATGTTACGGGCAAGAATCTACATACACAATGGCCAGTGATGGTTTATTATTATTGTTTTTAAGAGTGGAGTTAACAACTGTTTTACGCCTAAATTCCTAATTTTGTTGATGAAAGAAAAATTTAAACAGGTTACTTTAAACAGCTTGTCTGTTGAATAATTTAGAAGAATAAATTAGTAGAATTACTACTACCCAGTCTTCAAATATTGTGTAAATATAGGTTTACCGAGGTGAGTAAAGTAAAACTCAAACACCATACACATAAGATATAGAAAACGATTCTATACCTCCTGAAATGCCACTCAATGGCATAGTGGTATGTCTGTGGACTTACAACGTTAGAAATCGGGTTTCGATACTCGTGGTGGGCATAGCACAGATAGCCCTTGGCGTTGCTTTGTGCTTAATTTCAAACAAACAAACGAACCTCCCCAAATTAGATGATATACAATTAAACATAGATTATTTTATACACATATGCAAGATCTATGACTATTAGATGAAATGAACGAAGATTTCAATAAATAGGATTTCGATCTAATATTACAATCTTAAGAATGTAAAACATGAGGCGGCTGAGAAAGATAGCTCGACGTTCAGAACTGGAAGATACTATTACCTTTTGTACAGTAATGAAACCAGGCAGAGGGAAACATAAAGGACATAGAACAGGTAGCCCATTGTGTAGTACAAACAAACAAACTTAAACATCTCTTCTTAAATTTATATGTATTATAGTCTTGGGATACAAACTTTGGTTGAATTCACCCAAAAACCTCCACAGAATTACCGCTTTGCTACTGAAGGGCGAATGCTTAAGTAATCTGTTATCTTAGACTTATAAGTGTGGATTATAATAGTCTGCTACTTTGTCACAAATGTTTCGTAAAGTATTCACTTTATTCGTTATTCCTTTGTGATTAGTCATTAAAGCATTTGTGAAACTACAACAAAAAATGATTAAGTAAGAAGAAAATATCTTAATGATACGTAAAAAAATAAATAGCCTAAATTTATACCATCTCACACTGAAACTAAAAATACAAGTTTTGAGTTTTTA